CAGACAGGTGATCTGTTTGATCCATCCTGTTTCCAAGGTTCTGGTTCAGAAATGAAACTCGCTGAAGTTTCCTTCTGTGTCTGAATCATCTGCTCATTAAATAAAACTCCTTCTAGTTTAGAATTGAAACGCCGTTTAATCCATGATGTCAATAAAGGTTTGGAGAATGTTGGTCAGTGGATGTGGCTCAGAAATGATATGATGTCATGTTGATCTCAAAGATTATCGAGGCTCTTAATCTGGGAGTTATTTGTGGGGAAAATGGGGTGTTTAGAGTTTGCTAGATTAAAAAGCCACATGACCTACTTCAGGAAAAATGTGCTATAGAATTCAAAATATCCAATTATGTTCAAAATAAAGACTTTTTACCATGTAACTGTTCAAAGATCATTTTTGCCAAAGCTGAATATTCTTGGGCTCGTTAACAAAAATAATCAATATATTCTGGGTTATATGTAGGTTTTTAACAAAGGAGCAGCTGAAGAAGTGTCGATGTGATGAATGGAGGATTACAGACGTCCGTGGAGCACCTTTACTTTCCGTCTAATCTGAGTGGGATGGAACGAGCCGGGACTCCTCCTCGCCATCCCATGGGCTCTGGGGACGGCGAGCGGCAGAACTTCACTCATCAGCGAGGCTGCAGCCATGGCGCTCTTCCTGCACTCGGATTTCCCTTTGATCAAGCAGCAGAAGGACGTGGAGATGTTTGGAGACCAGGAGGTCTGTAAAGGTGAGAGGAGGTGAAGGAGGAGCAAACTAAAGGAGTTCCTCGTTCTGCAGGTTGGAAACAGGAGAAAATAGGAAAGTTTTAAAGAAGAAACATCATTATGGTCGTTATAAATGTCATTTTGTTTTGATAACGACTCTTTCACTGCAAAAAAATAAAATCTAAATAAGTCATTTTTTCTTGAATTAAGTATTTAAGTGAGACACTTTGCCAATGGAACAAGACAATTTACACTTAAAATAAGAAAAAAACAATTGCATTGTCTTATTTCAAGTGCATAATATCTAGATACCTTCTTTTAAGAGTAAAAATACTCATCCCATTGGCAAATCATCTTATTTACCTGCTCAAATTAAGGGTAAATACATTTAATTTAAGACATTTTTACTAATTTTGAGGTTGTTTTTGCAGTGTTGTTTGACCTCCTTATAGAAAAAGCTGAAACATGAGACTGGTTTCCTTAAACTGATATGAGATGGAAGAAGGGCGATGAACATTAATATGCACTGCAAAACATTTTAATATAAATAAGTGATTTTTACTTCAAATAAGTCAGAAATTTTGCCAATGGAACGAAACAATTTACATTTAAAATAAGAAAAACAATTGAAAAACAATCTTATTTCAAGTGCATATTATCTAATTATCTTATTTTAAGAGTAAAAATACTCATTTAAATGGAAAATCCTCTTATTTAACTGCTCAAATTAAAGGTAAATGAACTAACTTTAATAAATATTGACTTATTTGTGGTCTTATTAAATTTTAAACAGTCGATGTTTGTATGGAGTTACTCAGTAGCTGAGCTCCAAATACTTTATACTCTTAAGTCATTTCTTGGGTGGCTACATTTTACTCTTACAAACAGCAAAAATAATAAAATAAAATGCGTTATTGTCCTTGAATTGATATATTTTATTTGATTTTAGCAGGTAGTTCAGACGTTTCACCAGTGATTAAGATTATTTACATTTTAAACAAGAAGAAAAAAACTCCACTATCTTATTTCAAGGAAATAATATGTAATTCTATGTATTTTATTTTACAGTAGAAAAAATAGAAATCTAGATAAGTTATTTTTTCTTAAAATAAGTGCATTTGTTCTTTGATTCAGGAGATAAAATTGGAAAATGACAATTTACATTAAAAATAAGAGTAAAAGAGTAAAAATACCTACTCAAATTAAGTGTAAATACACTTAATCTAAGAAATGTTTACTTATTTCTAGATCCTTTTTGCACTTTAATGGTTAAAAAAACTCGTTGCCTTTCCGGCTCTTTTTATTTACCTGCTCAGATTAAGAGGAAATACACAAATTTTAAGAAACTTTTACTTGTTTTAGGTCAGATTTTTGCAGCTTGGTGAAGAATTGCACTGGAAAAACAATCTAGAAATAAGTCAAAATTTTTGAAATTACATGCATTTACCCTTAATTTGAGTAGGTAAGTGAGATAGTTTGCCAATGGAATGAATGCTTTTACTCTTAAAATAAGATTTTTAGATAAAATGCACTTGAAATAAGACAATGCGATTGTGTTTTCTTATTTTAAATGTAATTTGTCTTGTTCCATTGGCAAAGTGGATCTTTTTCCTCCTCAATCCAAGAAAAATTGCACTTATTTTAAGAAATAATGACTTATCTAGATTTAGATTTTTTCCAGTGTGATGCTCTTATTTGAGCATAAATGTTGGATAATCTCTGATCAAAGCTAAACAAAAGCTCACAGATCTTCTAAAGGAAATAATAACGCATAAAAACTGATTATTTCCCTGCAGCTTAACGTCATCAGATCAATGATTTCACTATAAATCCGTATTTCAGTCCCTGTTAATTAACCCTGACTGTGTTGCTGGTTTTCTGCGGCCCTCAGAGGGTCTCAGCAGGGGGGGCGTGTCCCCTCAGGAGACGGACAGAGGCGGAGCTTTGACGGAGGGTCAGAGGAAAAGGAAGAGGACCATCTTCAGCCGAGCCCAGCTGTCGGAGCTGGAGCAGGCCTTTGCAGTGACTCCGTACCCCGACATCACCCTCAGGGAGAGGCTGGCGGCGCACACACACTTACCTGAGAGTAAGATACAGGTGAGAGAAAGATACAGGTGAGAGAAAGATACAGGTGGGAGAAAGATACAGGTGGGAGAAAGATACAGGTGAGAGTAAGATACAGGTGGGAGAAAGATACAGGTGGGAGAAAGATACAGGTGAGAGAAAGATACAGGTGGGAGAAAGATACAGGTGGGAGAAAGATACAGGTGGGAGAAAGATACAGGTGAGAGAAAGATACAGGTGGGAGAAAGATACAGGTGAGAGTA